GCAAGAATGGAGGCCACAAGACCATTTAGTACACCACTAGGTGGTGTCATTGAGTTTTGACAGTAGGAGATAGTTTCCTTTTTTAATTGTTCGTTTTATTTTTCCCTTGTGTGCTCACCAGCGTAAATTTGGAAAACATACTAAAAAATGAGGTTAAGTGAACTATACCTCTGAAACTAATAATACACTATGTTAATTAACTGAACTTAAATTTAAAAAATAAGGTTAAAGATAGCCTGAAAAGCCACTGAAGAGAGGGACATGATTTAACTTTAAATTTTAACAGGGTCACTCTGAAGGCTGTGAAGAATTGACCAAAGGTAGGGGCTAGAGGCAAAGCAAGGATTCCACTTAGGAGGTATTGCAGTAAGGCCTACAAGAGAGAAGGTGTTAACCTAGTATTAACTGGGGAGGTGAGAGAAATAATCAAATTTTGGATAGATTTTGAGTATGATGAATATATCAGAAGGTAGTTCTAAAATTGGGCTTTGGATAGCATTTTAATATGTAAAAAGAAGACCAAAATAGTTTACAGACAGGAGGAACTGCTTGTAAAAACTTGTAGTTAAGCAAAGAGGGTTTTAGGAAGAGTGAAATTATTCTGTCTAGATTAATGATTTCATTTTGGAGTTTGAGCTACTCCTACAGATGTAGGGTTTTTTTTATATGGATAATATGAAGTTCAAATTGTGCCATAGGACTAGTCCAGCCCAACCTTGGGTAGGAGTTAGGGTGTGATTCCAATCTTAGTCCGAATAAATTGAAATAACCTGGGGGGAAGGCAGTTGGGTATTTCAAGCAGACTGAGCAAAATATGTAGTTTTAGGAATAAGTATAGCCTGATGGTTAAGAGCTAGGTTGCCTGAGCTCACATCAGTTACTATGAAAAGAAGGTATATTTACACCTAATGTCAAATTAATCATTGGGTCAGTGTGAACTAGGAGTAATGCAGACTGTCATCAGGCCAACTATCAAGAGTCAGGCAAATCTGCCAGAAATGCCTACCAACTTAATTAGATCTTAATACCTATTGAGTATTGTATTAGGCTTATGCGATCCACTCCAAAAGGTAAAGTAACACTAGCGTGTTTTTGTTCATCTTCGCAGGTTCTAGAACTTATAATACGGACCGCTGTGAGTCATTTGTACAGGTGTCTTTCACTAAACATTACCGTTAATTGTCAAATGAATTCTAACTTTAACATTTTTTTTGAAAAAGTTCCTGGTGAACAGTGAAAAGCACTGTGGCTTAAAAGATCTGAAGGACTAAGTTTAACCTAGGGTCTGACTTTTATCGATGGCATGGTATTGGGACAATCATTTGACTTCTCTGAGTTTAAGTACCCTTAGCTGTAAATTATAGAGGTTGAATTAACAAGAGTCTTAAAGTCCCCTAATGAACTCTAAAATAGTGCATACCACATAAAATATGAATTTTCACAGCACACTCTGCGAAATCTTAACAGTTTAATGTCATTTTAATTTCACGGTCACTTCAAGAAAGGTCCTAGTAAGCGCACGCTATAGTCAAGAAAAATCGTGGCTCAAAAAGGTTCGCGATTAGCCCGAACACCAAGTGGAGAGCCCCAGCCGGCCGGAAACCATTAAGTCTTCAGACACCATATGGCAACGGCTTTTATGGCACTGGGGACTACAGGTCTCGGTACACTTCCAATAACAAGTGCAAGAGAAGAGAAGTCCAAAAGTCAGAACGGTTACCCGGTTTTCCTGGGAAACCTTGTCAATTCCAGGACCGCAGAGTGGACCCGAAGATAGGGGTGGTAAACCGACCCAGCCAGCTGAACCCCATCGCGCTTGCGCAGGAGGACGGACGCAGCCGCAGACCACCACGCAGGCTCCGCGTCGTTCCACTTCCGGTTTTCCTGTCCCGCCTAGGCCCCACGGGGGCGGTGCCTTCCGGCCGGGAAAAAAACTTAAAGCTACCTTGGCTTGAGAGTCCCTTAGGGATGAAGTTGAGTACTATTGCTGTGGTAGGCTGACCGTTCGAACCTTCCAGCCTGCCCTGCCCTCTCACACTAGAGGCGCTTCCAGGGCAAGCAGAGGTTTAGGCTTGATTTCTTGTTTTTGTTGATAGGGTGAAGCTACGAATTGTAGACGCACTTACCGGAACTTCTTGCAGCTCTTGGGACTGCCTACAGTGAGCTCAAACCACTAGGGGCTGAGCCAGGCGGATTTTATTCTGGAAGTGACGGGAGGAGTTTGGAATCCATCTAATTCCTTAAGGATGTGGGAGTTCAGATCACTTTATAGTGTCTCTCCTAGAGAAGTGATCTCATAAGACTGCAAAAGGAACTGTCCTTAACACTCTTCTCCGGCCCCTCCCCCTCTTACACATTTTCATTCAGAAGTCAAACCCACCCACTGAGATGTTACCATTTTGCCTCAATGAAGACATAAAGGAAAATTCTGTAACTAATACGATTTTCCTCACTTGCTAGACTAGTACATAATGTCTATGACAACTGTGGATCTTTTTTAATAGCCTATTTCAGCCATTACAACATCAACATGAAGTAATGGGGGCAAGAATAAACAACTTGGGTATCAAGGAGTACTTGGAGAATACTGATAGAGCAGAACTGGTATTGGTAAATTACTAAATTCAAAGCTCACATCTATGAAGATGATAGCAAATAGAGCCCAGTCAGGGCCACTAATCATAATTCAATCCTAATTCAGTGTGAACAACAAAGTATTTTTTTATTCAAAGAAATACACAAATTTGTGGGTACCTGTGTTGGTTAAGGGACTGCCTTCGGCTCAGGTCATAATCCTGGAGTCCCAGGATGGAGTCCCACATCGGGCTCCCTGCTCAGTCTGCTTCTCCCTCTGACCCTACCCCCTCTCATGTGCTCTCTCTCAAATAAAATCTGAAAAAAAAAAATACACAAATTTGAAAAAAGTACTGATGTTATAGTGGTGGGATCATTAGTATTCATTTAAAAATGTCTTTGGAGAGGGGCACCTGGGTGGCTCAGTTGGTTAAGCATGAGATTCTTGATTTTGGCTCAGGTCATGATCTCAGGGTCCTGAGATAAGTCCCTCAGGTTTCCATGCTGTGCGTGCAATCAGCTTGGGATTCTCTCTCCCCCTCTGCCTCTGTGCCTCACCCTGCTCACGCACTCTCAAAGTAACTATTATCTTTAAAAAAGATGTCTTTGGTTACATCGTTTTACACTGAGATGTAAAAAGTAAGTGGTCAGGTCTATTTCCTACTCACATTCAATACTATTTGTTGCCAGCCAGTATGCTACTTCTTACAGACTAATTGTGCCCCCAAGTCATACTAAGTAGTTAGGGGATACAGTCCAATAAATAATTGTAATAGAATTCCTGTAAGTGCTGTAAACGTATAAGTATGTGGAATTTAGTACATAGATTTTCTGTCTTTGGTTGTCAGAGGTGGCTTTCTAGAGAAAGAAATCTCTTTAGTTAAACTTGAAGGAGTGAAAATTAGCTAGATGAAGAGGAGGTCTCCATGAATAGGAAATACATGGAAAACCCTAGAGCTAAGCACATGCGGTGGATGGGAAGCTGGAAGCTGCTGCATGGCTGACACATGGAGTACAAAGGGTGCGGTGCAAGAAAACATTAGAATATGAAAGACAAGGTAAGTCGTTTCAGAGTTTAGATTTCATCTAAAAGTTCGCAGGGAGTATTTGAAAGGTTTACGCATTTGTGTGCAATAATCAAAATTTGTATTTCAAAAAGATCCTCTGCCTGCATTTTACAGAATTTCAAGGCAGAGACACTAGCTGAAGTAATGAGAGAGAGAGGATAGTAACCAGAATATAAATATAGTACCAGTAGGGACATATGCAGAGAGATACAAGGAAGAGTCTAAAGATTTGGTGAGCATATTAACTAAGGATATAGGGCAATCTGTGGTACAAAAGAAAACAACAAAACCAGGAGCTTCTACATGACTGAAGTTTATTTCTCTCTAACCATCTGAGGTAGATGGGTGGTCCATACTGGCTCCCACTTGTAGTCCACTGCAGTTACTACAGTTTTCACGGTTCTCCAGCCAGCAGGGAGAGGGAAAGGTGTCAGGAGAATAGAATGATGCCTAGCTGCTTGAAGGGCAAGACCTGGAAGTGACATACATCACTTCTGTTCACATCCCATCGACCAGGACTTACTAACAGAAATTTAAAGTTGGGTGGCTATGTGCCCAGCTAAACTTCTACAACAATGAAAATTAATAAATATAATAGATAACAACTAGCAGAATGCCTTAGTAATTCATGGGATATGGCGTATGGGCACAGAGAGAGGGAGAAGGTTTTTGAGATTAGACACTGGGTCATTCCCTGCACTGAGGCTGAATGACAAAGATCTTCCCATTTGTGCCTTCCTCAGTTTCTTTCATCAATGTCTGATAGTTTTCAATGTACAGATCTTTCATCTCCTTGGTTAAATTTATCCATGGGTATGCAGTTGTAACTGCATAAAAAGAATAAAATACCTATGGATGAATTTAACAAGAAGGCACAAATAAGGAAGATCTTCCATGCTCATGGCTTAGAAGAATACTGTTAAAATGTCCACATTATCCAAAGAATCTACAGATTCAATGCAACCCCTATCAAAATCCCAATGGCATTTTTCACAGAAAAAAAAAAAATCCTAAAATGTGTATGGAACCACAAAAGACCCGAATAGTCAAAGCAATCTTGAGAAAGAAGAACAAAGCTGGAGGTATCACACTTCCTGACATCAAACTATATTACAAAGCTATAGTAACCAAAACCGTATGGTACGGGCATAAACACAGACACATAGATCAATGGAAGAGAACAGAGTGCCCAGAAATAAGCCCTCATATATATGTGGTCAATTAATTTGTTACAAAGGAGCCAAGAATATACAATGGGGAAAGGATAGTCTCTTCAATAAACAGTGTTGGGAAAACTGGACAGTCACATGCAAAAAAGGATGAAAATGGACCACTCTTATACCATACACAAAAATTAAATAAAAAATGGATTAAAGATCTGAAACCATAGAACAAATGAACATAGAATAACTTTGCACATTAACTAATCATAAGTGTTCACACTCCAGTATACCTTTTCTGTTTTTGAGTAAGATATGAGCTTTAACCAAAAGCCACCATCCTCATTCATTGGGAATCTCTCCAATATGAATATTTTGGGGCAGATTAAAGATAAATTTCTTGGCTCAGGATCTCAAAGGTAACTTACAGAAATAACTTATAGAAGAAAGAGGAAACTAGTGCACAGAGTATTAAGACACTTTATTGACCTCTTAATGCTTAGAATAAATGATAGACCCAAGACTATGGATGTCCCTCGGGCCTAGATCCCAAAGAGTACTTTTAAAAACGCAGATTTGACGACTATATATAGAATCCACTTCCCACTGCAATTGATAACCCTCCTCCAATTCTAGTCCCCACTCAGCACCAGGACGGCCAAGGATATTATCATGGAGTAATTTGCCATTCCTATGGTCTCTGCCATTAATTCAGGAAATTCAGTCCTTAGAAGTATTCCTATATTCTTGTGAGCTCCTGGTTTCTCATGACCTTCTTATAAGGACTGAAAGTTTGAGTTTTATTAAATATCAATGGCAAGGGTATTGCCTGGCTCCTCCCTAATATCTACTTCAATAAATCATGTGAATATAAGGATGCCATAGGTCCCATTTATGAACTAGGAATGATGATGGCAATGGATATCAGAATAATGATAGGCAAAGACTTGTATGGTGATACATTTAACTCCAAACCTTTGTGGCTTCATTTGGGAGCATACTCCTACCCAGTAACAGATTTCTCTCCAATATTAATTCTGTCATATCAATTAAAGAAGAATCCCTGACCAATGTTTTCTTGCATTTACTCTATTCACAGGATTCCCTCTAGTATAAATTCATTGATGTAGTTAATCATGGGTTTCTTCCTTTTACAGGACTTCTCCTGAGTATGAAGTTTTTGGTGTTTTTTAAGGTTTGAACTCCTGTTGAAAGTTTTCTCACATTCCTTACATTTGAATGGTTTCTCTCCTGTATGAATCATTTGATGTCGAATAAGGGAAGAGCTTCGGCTGAAGGATTTTCCACAATTAACACATTCGTAGGGATTATCTCCAGAATGAAGTCTTGAATTTTTATTACTGTCTTCAGTCTCACTAAAACCTTTTCTACATTTATTGCCTTCACAGACCTTTGCTTCAGCATGAATTTTTTGATGCTTAGTAAGGTTTGTACGTCTGTTGAAGAATCTCCCACATTCACTACATTTATAAGGTTTCTCTCCTGTGTGAATGATCTGATGTCTAATGAGGGATGAACTCCGACTGAAGGCTCTCCCACATTGATAGCATTCATAGGAATTCACTAAGGTATGACTTCCTGGGTGTTGAATATCTATACTCAGGCTCAAGGCATTCCCACATTCATTATATTCTGAATATTGCTTACCAGAGTCTAAATTAAATTTGAAGTTAGTTTTAAACTTACCACATTTTGAGGACCCTTTTCTCATAGGAATTCCTTGTTGTATACCCAAAGTTGAATTAACTGACTTAACATCTAAACTTTTCTTATTCTCACTACCTTCAAAGTTTCCCACTTCAGTGTAGACTGTCTTATGAACAAAAGCTTCTTCTGGCAAATTTAAGTCCCAGTGTTCCTGGTTCCTATATAACCAATCATTGCTCATCCAAGCATCTAAAGAAGGGGATCCGCTTTTGGTCAGTCTTGTCATAATCACTCCAGGAGATGATTCTTTTCCAGAAATTCTCTGCTTTGGAACTGAATCTTGGTTTTCTGAAATTACCTCTCTGCCTAAAAAGAAATAAAAAATTCCATGAACTAGAAAAAGGGAAATTGTTTAATTAGGAAAGGGATGCTAAACCACATAAGGGAATATGCGTATTTTATAGGCCTTAAATACAGAATGGAAATGTGAGGTGAGATTAGAAAAATGAGAATTATAGAAGAAATAAAAGGGATAAAAGTATTAAAAGGGAGGTTAGGAGATCATAAAATATGAGAGCTATTCAGGAATATTAGAGAGAATACATAGGGCTTAGGAAAATATCCAGCATATGAACTGGGATAGGGTGGCATATCATAGTTCAAATTATTACTGGTTTGTAACTAGTCTGTGTGGGTTATACCTAACCTTCCTTTCTCTAGCATCTTGTCTTTGTCTCTTTTAACCTACGCTGTTCATCAATAATAAATACACCCTTCTAAAATAGCAATTTAATCATATCTTTAAAAACATGTCTACATTTACAGGCACATCTTAACCAGCTACAATAAACTTGCAATCAGTGCTTCTATTTTCCATACAAGCTGCAATTATTCCCCATATTTAACAAAGGCAGAAAAAAAAACTATAATCAGAAGTAGCAGAGAAACCACCCCTCTTCCTGGGCTCAAAATCACTCCTGATTCAAATGGTGCTACGTTATTTTTCTGTGTATTTCCTAGAACTCAAAATTTTACCTGTCCCAGGTAAGATTCAGTTCTCTTGTTTTCACCTGTCTTCAGTTTGTTTCATTTAATGTCTTACTTTCCTTCTCAAGATTCCTTTCTCACTTAGTTTCTGTATAAATACGTCCAATATACTATATATTCTAGCAATTTCTTAATAACTAAATTTCACTGACTCCCATTACCCTTCTGCACATAACTTCAGCTTTATCTAATGCTTTACTTCTACACTTTATTGGAAGCCAAAACACATCGTCAGCTTTGTATCTCACATATTTTTTTTTTAAGATTTTATTTGTTTATTTGAGAGAGAGAATGAGATACAGAGAGCATGAGAGGGGGGAGGGTCAGAGGGAGAAGCAGACTCCCCACTGAGCGGGGAGCCCGATGCGGGACTCGATCCCGGGACTCCAGGATCATGACCTGAGCTGAAGGCAGTCACTCAACCAACTGAGCCACCCAGATGCCCTCACATTTTTTTTTTTTTTACCTGTCTCCAAGACAATGCCACTTGGCTATCCTACTACTCTCTTCCAACTGAACAAACGAGACTGAGAATTTCATCTTTCATGTTGAAAGAACTTCCCTCAATGTCCTCAGTTGTTCAGTGAGTCATTGTTCTTCTAATATTTACACTAGAGTCCACAAAGAGATCTTGAATAAACATTGCTCTTTATCCCTTGTATCTAATCTGCCCTGAGGTACTATTATTTTATGAAATGACTTTTGCCTCAAAGCAGCCCCACTGATGCATCCAACTTTGTCAAATACCTATTAATTCAGCCTGATTTAGTCTAATTTCTAGCAGAAATTATCTGTCTGTATAATACTCACACTGGAAACTAGACTATTAAAACAATCTCCTAGAGCAGAGTGTAGGAATATAATGAGAGTGCTGACTGTAGTTTCCCCGTTTCTGCCTCACCAGTGTATACTGGGTGTGTGGGCAGATAACCTGTAATTTAATTCACAGGTCTTCAGTGAGAGAGAAACCTCTTCAAACCTAGACCTAATTTAATTTAGATGGTAAGATCCTGGACTTCAAGCCTGATGCCATAATGAGACGAGGTCTCTTAGGAGACAGTAAGTGTATTTAACAAGGGGGGAAAATAAAAAAAATAATTTGTGGCCAGAGGACAGATCAAAATGGCTGCACATTCATTAAAAAAACCCACAGCTAACATTGTACTCAAAGGGGGAAAAACAGAGCTCTTCCTCTAAGATCAGGAACAAGACAAGGATGTCCACTCTCACCACTGTCATTCAACATAGTACTGGAAGTTCTAGCAACAGCAATCAGACAAGAAAAAGAAGTAAGAGGCATTCATATTGGTAAATAAGAAGTAAAACTCTATTTACAGATGACATGATACTATATAAAAAAAATCCTAAAGACTCCACCAAAAAACTACCAGAACTGATAAATTAATTTAGTACAGTTGCAGGATACAAAATATACAGAAATCTGTTGCATTTCTATACTTTAAAATGAAGTAGCACAAAGAGAAATTAAGAAAACAATCCCAATGGGAGAGGAGGGGAGGGAAGGGGAGAGGAGGGAGGAAGCTAACAGTCCCATTTACAATTGCACCAAAAAGAATAAAATATGTAGGGGAGGTGGGTGGAGGGATGGGGTAACTGGGTGATGGGCATTAAGGAGGGCACCTGAAGTAATGAGCACCGGGTGTTGTATGAAACCGATGAATCACTAAATTCTACTTCTGGAACTAATTATATAGTATATGTTAAGTTGAATTTAAATCAAAAATAGAAAAAAATATAAAAAACATAGGAATAAATTTAGCCAAGAGTCATAGACCTGTACTCTGAAAACTATAAAATGCTGATGAAAGAAATTGAAGATGACACTAAGAAATGGAAAGATATTCCACACTCATGGATTGGGAGAATCAGTATTGTTAAAATTTCCATACTACTCAAAGCAATTTACATATTTAATGCAATCCCTATCAAAATACCAACGGCACTTTTCACAGAACTAGAACAAAGAATCCTAAAATTTGTATGGAACCAAGAAAGACCTTGAATAGCCAAACCCAATCTTGAAAAAGAAGAACAAAATTGGAGGTATCAAGACATACTATGCAAAGCTGTAGTAATCAAAACAGAATGGTACTGGTATAAAAAAAAACCAAAAAACAGACACACAGATCAATGGAACAGAGAGCCAGAAATAAACCCACAGCTTTATGATCAATCAATCTATGACAAAGGAGGCAAGAATATACAATGGGAAAAAGTCTCTTCAACAAATGGTGTTGGGAAAACGAGACAGCTACATGCAAAAGAATGACACTGGACCCTTTTCCTACACTATATACAAAAATAAACTCAAAATGGATTAAAGACCTAAATGTGAGACCTGAAACCATAAAATTCCTAACAGAAAACATAGGCAGTAATTTCTCTGACATTGGCCATAGCAATATTTTTCTAGATATGTCTCCTTTGGCAAGGAAAACAAAAGCAAAAGTAAACTACTGAGACTACACCAAAGTAAAAATGTTTTGCACAGTTAAGGAAACTATCAACAAAATAAAAACAACCTACTGAATGGGAGAAGATATTTGCAAATGATATATACAATAAAGGGTTAGAATCCAAAATATATAAAGAACCTATAAAACTCAACACGAAAAAACTAACAACAATCCAAATAAAAAAATGTGCAGAGGACCTGAATAGACATTTTTTCAAAATAGACATTAGATGGCCAACAGACACATGAAACAATGTTCAGCATCACTCATCATCAGAGAAATGTAAATCAAAACCACAATGAAATATCATCTCACACTGGTCAGAATGGCTAAAATCAGAAACACAAAAAATAAGAGTGTTGGCAAAGATGTGGAGAAAAAGGAACCCTCTTGCACTGTTGGTGGGAATGCACACTGGTGGAGCACTGTAGAAAACAGTATGGAGGTTCCTCAAAAAATTAAAAATAGAAATTCTGTATGATCTAGTAATTCCACTAGTGGGTTTTAGCCAAAGAAAATGAAAACACTAATTCAAAAAGATATATGCAACCTTATGTTTACTGCAGAATTATTTACAATACAGAAGCAACCAAAATGTCCATTCATAGAGAAATGGATAAAGAAGATATGATATACATAGGGGTGTGTGTGTGTGTATACGAAGAAGAAGAATCTTAAATATAACGGACAAACTGGTGTTTGCCAGAGGGAAGGTGAGTGGGGGAATAGGTGAGAACAGAAGAAGAGGATTAAGAGGACACTTATGATGAGCATGGCGTAATGTACAGAATTGTTGAATCATTATATTGTACAGCTGAAACTAACATAATACCATATATTAATTATATTTGAGTAATAAAAAGAGATAGATGTACATTCTTTGGCACCCTCCCATAGAGAGGTGGGGTTTTTCTTCCTCTTGAAAATGGGCTACTTCTGTGACTGCTTAGCCAATAGAATACGGTAGAAGTGATACCATGCCACTTCTGGGCCTGGCCTTTAGGAGACTGAAAATGTTGAATTCCTATCAGGATATTCCCAGAACCTGGCTGGCATGCTATGAGAAGTCCATGCCTCAAGAAGAGGCCACATGGGGGCACCTGGATGGCTCAGTCGTTACGCGTCTGCCTTCGGCTCAGGTCATGATCCCGGAGTCCTGGGATCGAGCCCCGCATCGGGCTCTCTGCTCCGTGGGGAGCCTGCTTCTCCCTCTCCTACTCCCTCTGCTTGTGTTCCCTCTCTCGCTTTGTCTCTCTCTGTCAAATAAATAAATTTAAAAAAAAAAAAAAAGAAGAGGCCACATGAAGGTGCTCTGGTCCACAGGGCCAAAGTTCCCAGTGACAGCCAGCATCAACTTCCAGCCATGTGATGAGCCATCTTGACCATTCCATCCCAGCAGAACACTGTATCCTCAGTCAACATCATATGGATCCTGAGAACTCCTAAGTCAACTCACAAAATTGTGAGTTAATAAAATGATTGCTGTTTCAAGTCACTAAGTTTTGGGGCAATTTGTTAGAAACAATAGGTCACTGAAACAGAAGTTGTTCCAAAAGTATTTACTGAGTGGCAAAATTCCTAAATGTATTTCTCTAAGCAAATCTCTGATGTTCTCATATTTCTAGGACTCATTTTTCATATAACTTCTTTACTCCTATTTTTAAAGTCACTTTCATGTATTTTGTTATTTTCAAATCACTTAGTTCTAACATATAGGAAAGCTACCAATATTTTTATTTTATATCTGGCCACCTTATAAAACTCTTAACAGATATAATAGTTTTGACAATGAGTTTCTTGGATTTTCTAAGTAGAAAGTTACCGTTTACAGATAATAGCTTTTCCTCTCTTCTACTAATTAACTTTCTC